CCACAGAGCAGGAATGGTGAGGAGCTTTGCCCTACTGGCTGGAGATAAGAAACTGACAAGGTTTCCATCAAATAAAAGATATGTTATTACTCAACCCTGAAATGCAAATACACACATTTGCCTTTGAGTTACCTAAGAAAGCGCCTCTTAACCTCTTAGTTCTTACAATTCCTAAAATGCTCAGTCATTTCTACCCACATTATACTACTGAGAAAGCCAAGACAAGGATACGGTTAAAGAGATTTCACGTTCAGCAGAGCTAAAATTTGAATTTAAACACCTTCTATCACCCAACTTGTTACAAAAAGTCCTAAACACAGGCAATGCAATGTCAGAAGGTCAATCAGGTATGAGAGGGGCTGAAGAAAAGGATCTGAGGCAAAAGAGTTCCTGGGGAGGTCTTTTTTTTTTTTTTAAATGTTTCATTCATTTTTTTTGAGAGAGAGAGAGAGAGAGAAACAGAGACAGAACAAGCAAGCAGGTGAGGGACGGAGAGAGAGGGAGACACAGAATCCGAAGAAGGCTCCTGAGCTTTCAGCACAGAGCCCAGCATGGGACTCGAACTCACCAACCGTGAGATCATGACCCGAGCCGAAGTTGGACGTTTAACCCACTGAGCCACCCAGGTGCCCCAACACATAACCATTTTTTCTGTAACTTTTTATTATGAAAAATTTTTAACACTTGCACAAGTAGAAAGAATAGTGTAAGGAACTCCTAGATACCACCCAGGTGCCCCCAGAGAGGTCTTTTTAGAACTGAAATGCTGAATCTCCTCTTGGCACTTTTGAGAAGCCCCATCTCCTCATTGAGGTGAGTGGACAGGTCTGTTGGGTGAGGGGCAGGCTACCAGAGGAGCTGCACACCTCCACAATGGCCAATGAGAAACTGAAATCCTTTTAAGTCTCACTTAAGTATCTAAGAGTCACCCAAACCATCAATCATCAGGCTAGCCAAAGACCAGAGAAGTGTCCTTGGAATCAAAGTCGCCCTCTCTGTGGCACTCAAAATGATGTGTTCAGGAGGCAGTAAAGAGTACACTGCCAATCAGACTGCTTGGGTTCAAACCCCAGCACTACTACCCACTAGCCGTGTGACCTTGAAGAAGTCACAACCTGTGTGCCTCGGTTTCCTCATCCATAAAATGGGGGTAGCAACAAGAGTGTAAGCTCTCACTAAATGATGCCTGCTGTTGTTTTTATTCAGAAAGTCTTGGCCAATCCAAGACCGGTCCTCTTCTACACTGCCCTAGATCATGGTGTATGTGCCAATATGCCCTTCCCCAAACACCACCACTCCCCTCTTCCACCAACCCAAGAGCAAAACTCTGCTTTCAATCAAGCTGATGGAAAAAAGCAAAAGACCTAAATGAACTATTTCATTAAATGATGTCTAGGAGCTAAAAACCAATAAGCATTCACAGGATCCACATTCACAAGAAGGAAGAAAGCATTTAAATCAAGAGTTTAAACCAACTCTTCTCCCACAAAAAGTACATTTTATTGTTTTATATAACCACATGAGACATTCTCCCCAACTAAGGGATAGGTATAAGTTCCATTTTAAAAAATTTAATCTATGGAAATACACTGATTAATTTTCATATTTTAGATTAGTTTTGCTATCAAAAGCATTCCATTTAAAATATCAACTTAGGGGCACCTGGGTGGCGCAGTCGGTTGGGCGTCCGACTTCAGCCAGGTCACGATCTCACGGTCCGTGAGTTTGAGCCCCGCGTCGGGCTCTGGGCTGATGGCTCAGAGCCTGGAGCCTGTTTCCGATTCTGTGTCTCCCTCTCTCACTCTCTCTGCCCCTCCCCCGTTCATGCTCTGTCTCTCTCTGTCCCAAAAATAAATAAAAACGTTGAAAAAAAAATTTTTTTTAATAAAAAAAATTAAAAAAATAAAATATCAACTTAACTTTTAAATCACTAGGAAGCAAACTGTCTTTAATTCAAATATATAATTGTAATTTGGGGGTGACAATTTCACCAAGTTTCTTGAAAGCCAGGAAATATTAATTGGCAACAATGATAGCAATCTTTTATTGCACACTAAGCGCCTAACACACAAGGCGCTAAATTCTACATGTCACCTCATTCTCTTAATCCTTTCAGGAGGTACAAGCTCGTTTTACAGAAAAACCTCAGCCTTGAGGTTGACTATTAATGGTTCTGATAGAGAACTGATTGCTAGCACCTGTGTGAGGCTTTAACACTAAAATGATATAGAAAGGTAAGTCTGAAACTTGAATGTGCACGTGAATCACTGGGGGAATCCTGTTAAACTTCAAATTATGATTCAGAAGGTCTAGGGTAAGCCCTCCGATTCTGCATTTCTTTCTTTTTTTTTTTTTAAGTTTATTTATCTATTTTGAGAGAGAGAAAGTGCGAGAGCGTGAGGGAGGGTTAGAGAGAGAGGGAGAGAGAGAGCATCCCAAGCAGGCTCTGCACTGTCAGCACAGAGCTCAATGTGGGGCTTGAAGTCACAAGCCAATAGATCATGACCTGAACCAAAATCAAAAGTTGGACGCTTAACCGACTGAGCTTCCAGGCACCCCTGATTCTGCGTTTCTAACACGCTCTCTGATGCTGACAATGCCGCTGTTCTGGGGACCACACCCAAAGTAGCGAGGATGGCTACAGGTTGCAATAGGCCACAAACCACAAAAAAATGTCCATTAAACACTAAAATGAAAAACAGTCAAATTTTTCTCAAAAACAGTAAGTTAACCATAATATAAACTCTAATATAAGAATTATAACATCCAGGGGCGCCTGGGTGGCTCAGTTGGTTAAATGTCTGACTTCAGCTCAGGTCATGATCTCGAGGTTTGTGGGTTTGAGCCCCATGTCAGGCTCTGCGCTGACAGCTCAGAGCCTGGAACCTGCTTCGGATTCTGTGTCTCCCTCTCTCTCTGCCCCTCCCCTTCTCACGCTCTGTCTCTCAAAAATAAGTGAGATTAAAAAAAAAAAAAAAAGAATTGTAACATCCATATTTGTAGTGGGATTTTGAGCTTTGTAACATCTTAAAATTATCTTCATAATGACTTCTTGTTTAAATCTATAGTTCAATTTCCTGGAGCTTTGAGGGGGCTTTTCTCCCCTAAAAACCCTGATTTATATCAGGGCTGAGAAGCCACGTACATGGAAGACTGTTTCAAGTTGCTATAACCTCCAAGCAGGTCCCTTTTTTCACTCACCCATCCTCTTGCTGTTTAAATCCAACACGTTGGACAAATGGCAGAGTTAGGTGAGATTTTAGGGGCTGGGACCCCAAATTTTTCCAGATGAAAAGTAAATTTCTACAACAAAACAGGACCTTACCACAAGGCAGTAACAAATACCACTGGCTTCCATTTCTGGCCTTAGGTGACCAAGTTCCGGCAATGAGATGGCAATTAGCATTTTATACAACTACTGATTTTCATTCTTTTACCAGATCCTTGGAGTGGCAAGTTCTATTTACTTTCAAAAGTCCACAGAATAAACAAAGCAAGGTACTTCACAAGGCCCTATTTTCCACCTGGGTCCAAGTTCACCGTGATCTTTTTTACTCATTTCTGATTATCTGTGCTATACTCAAACACTGGCTAGCTGCCTTTTAAAAGGCAGTTAGACACTACCACCAGCCCTCTCCCTCCCCCACCTCCTCCACTCTCTGCTAGCACCAGTGCCTAACAACAGAACCAACACATCTCTGAGGACATTCCAGCTTACCAGATAAGGTCAGTTTAAAATTCTAGATAGGGATAACCCATTCCATTTGTCTTTCCTTAGAGCCCTTCAAAAATATCCCCTGGCAATCAGCAGAACAAGCCTTTCACCAGAGAGAAAATAGTCTATGATTCTGCAATTTACAAACACTGAGACCTTTATTTAAAGGGTGTCCACATTTTATATTACTCCCAAGGGATGCTTATCTATGGACTCAAGTAAGCACCAGCCCAATGCTTGGAAGAAACAAAATGTACATACACTGGGGCTCCATGCAAATGGCTTCTCGGGCTAGAAGGCTATAAAGTTTTGCTGCCGGGCCTCAGAGGAAGGCCTACCTGTGACAGGGTATAATATTGGGACACAGTTTTCTTCTGAATTTGGAGCATGCCCTGTCCACAAGAGAGCCAGGCAACTGCCCAGAGAGGCTTGTTACAAAAACCATGAAAGAGGGGCAGAGGTGCCAGGCCACTGCCCTGTATACCCTGGAAGCTGAAAACAATTCTGAGAAATGATCTCTACTATCGACAAGTCCGACAGAAAGTTGTCTCTGTTGCCTCCAAAACTGGCTGTCCTCCTCGAATGATTTAACTCTGGGTACCAATTGGGCAATGCCAGCCACCGTGCTGGGGCGGAGGATTCAGGGATGCTGGTTCTGTCTTCTAGGTTAAGTAGGCGGATTCAAACCTCTGCGGTATAAACTGGAGACTTTGGGGGTTAGATCTGGGCACCCCCACTGCATCTAGGCTACATGCTTCCATTCAACAAACATTTACTGAGCGTCTGCCCTAAGCCCGGCACTCTGCTAGGTGCGGAGTTGGAAGCCAAGCCACAGTCCCCAGAAGTGGAAGCAGACACAGAGAAGGGCCTTCAGGGGAGGTGTAGGTTGTGCGGGCCCCGAAAACCTGCCACAAATTGCTGTGATCAGTAGTTAATCGGGGGTCAGCATGACCTTCGCGCCGGGCTCCGCGGACCACCAAGCCCAATAATGAAAAAGGCTCGCGACAGCGAAGGCGGGAGTGGACAGGTAGGCCCGGGGGCAGGTGTTCAGGTAGGAGGCGCACGCCTGAGGCTGCAAGTCTGGAGAGGGCAGGGTCCCCAAGGAAGGTGGAAGGGCGGCCCAGGACCCCGCGAGGAAGAAGGGGGTGCGAGGAACTGGGGTCTGGCCCCGGGAAGCGGGTGCGCGGCGGCGGCCGGCCGGGCCTGAGCCCCCGAAGCGAGAGAGGGGAGGGAAGACTCCCGGCTAGGCCGCCAGCCCGCACCTGGGGCCCCGCCCGGCACCTACCACTTGGGCGACCTTGAGACAGCCGAGCGCTCCGCGCAGGTAGTCAGGGTCGCAGCGCAGGCCGGCCAGCCCGCGGCGCTGGCTCACCGGCTCGGTGGTGGGCTGGTACGGGCTGCTGGCGCCCGAAATCATGGAGGTGCTCGAGGCCTCGCCCTCGAAGCCGTCCAGCTCCTCGCCGCTCCGCATGCTGCCGCCCGGCCCGGGCCGCCTCGCGCGGCCGGCCCCCGGCGCCCGGAGC